TATCAAAAGATATTTTTTTTTTTTTTGATATACAAATCTATACTTAATTAAATAAAAGACTATGATATATACAAAACAATTTTTTTCATATCTATCCTTTAATAATTTTACAACAAATACTACATTATTTATCAATACTATTTTCAATATAGACACTACTTACAACCTTTCTCCTTTCAACTTATACTTTTAACTTGAAATTTATAGACCTGATTCGGAAGTCTCAGCAGTATTCATCATGCAATCAGCTCAATTTATTGCATATTAATTTATAGTTTTTTTTTTAAATTTAATTAAAAAGAATTTTTTGTCTATTCAAAAAACATTTGGAATCACTTGCTTTGTCCTAAGTTTTATTTTGCAGTGTAAGAACAAGTTTTCATGAATAAAACTATTGTAATATACTTCAACATTAATCAAAAATATTATGCATATACCATTAAAAACATTTAAAAACACTGGCAGTAATTTTAAGAAATAACAAATTTAAGTCAATCGAAAAGTTTCTTGACATCACTTAATAAATACTAAGAGGATTATATTCCTGACAAATCAAAGTTCAAACCAAAGTTATGATTATCAGGACTAAACTTTTATTAGTTAAAAATGCATTCTACCTCAAAAAACTTAAAATTTAAAGGAATCCTTTTTTCGTTAAACAGACTCCAGCTGAACTTGTTTAAAGTTAAAACACATTTCGAAAATCAACTCATCTTAAACATGTTCAAAAATGTTTAATTTGGCATTACATCTTTTAAAAGAATCCTTTTTTAGTTAAACAGACTCCAGCTAAAGTTGTTAAAAGTTAAACACATTTCCAAAATCAACTCATCTTAAACATGTTCAAACATGTTTAATTTGGCATTTCATCTTTTAAAGGAATCCTTTTTCGTTAAACAGACTCCAACTGAACTTGTTTAAAGTTAAAACATGTTTCCAAAATCAACCCATCTTAAACATGTTCAAACATGTTTAATTTGACATTTCACGCAGCGATATTTTATATTAAAATGTACCAAACAATTAAATAAAACAAGACTTTGAACTAAAAAGACAATGACTTATATTTTCAGGATTCTTTCGGTTAATATACAATATAGTATAGTGTTATCCATTTTATGGTTCCAAAAGAAAGCGTAAAAAAACATACAAATGTGTTTTAGATTTTGTTTAAATTTATATTTCAGTTCGATGTATTATTGGGCCCTTGTTCTAGGTGAAATATTAAAGTTCTTTTAAAAAACCTTCTTGAATTGCACTAGGTATGAAGAACAAGTCATTTTAGTAAACAAGTTTAAGTCTTATAGTGTTGAATCTCTTTACAGTTTATATAAAATATAAGTTCTTGAAATAACCTCTCAGAGTGCTTTTCACTTCTCAAAACACCGCAAATTAAAGGATCGTCCAAAGTATGGTATGGTTGTTACTGTAACTCGACGAACAAAACAAAAAAAAACCCCGAAAAACTTCTCGGACATCAAAGAAGGGATGGAACATGTTAAGTCGCTTCTCCTGAAAGCACATATTCTTAATTTTACGCCAAATAATTTTGTATTCATGTGGTTGCAGCAAACAAAATTGACTATTTATATCACATCTTTTTAAAACAAAAAACGAGCCTATGACACTTCCATTCCAAAAAACACGATTTTAGTGGATACAATGTTCTTACGACCATTACTTGGAAATCTATACTAATCCATGCTAAATATTACATTTCTAACCAGTAAAAAGTGGCTTGATTTACCAAAGAAAAAGGTCGGATTAGAAATCGTCGATGTGAAACGAATAATAAACTGACCTTCACACGAAGGTCTAGTAGCAACTAGAAATCTACTATGATCAATGTGTTTTAATGGAATTTGAGAACGGAAGTTTATTTGTGCAATTAAGCAGTAGGTTTGAGCAATCAATATTTAATACTTCAAGGTTTCTTTGACATTTTCTCTCTACTTTACCATTTAGCACGCACTGTTTTTGTCTTCCTCAATTTCTTTCGCTTTTTTCTTCTTTTTTTCTTTTTCAATTTCTTTTTATAACTTTCTTTTTTACTGTTTTCATTTCCCTCTTTTTTATTCTTTCTCCTTTTTTATCTTTCCATTCATACCTTAATTTCTTTTAAATTTAATTTCATATTTCTCTTTTTTTACTTCGCACTTCTATTTGTGTACCTTCAATTCATTTGTGCACCTTCAGTTCTTTTTATCTTCATTCTCATTTTGTTTTTCATCTTTTTGTCTATTTTATAATTTTTTTATCTGGCCTTTTTATCTCCCTCCGTTTTTCAAAACAGTTTCATCATCTTCCTTTCTTTCAACATGATTCGGTTTCATGTCACGTGTCATATTCACTCTTATTTCTTTAAATCATGTCCTTTAATTTTTATTTGTCGCATTTACTCTCTCTTCCTTTCTGTCTCTTTTACCTGATTTCTTTCGCTCTCTTTCTGTTTCACAATGCCTCTGTTTTTCTCTCTCTCACACTTTCTGAGCACCCACCATTCCTGCATTTCTCTCTCTGTCTCTATCACTTTCTCTTTTTTCTTTTTTCACTTTTTTAAACTCTCTCTTTTTTTCTCTCTCTTTCTCTATGCTCTCAATAGTCTCCCTTAGCCTGTCTCTTTCACTCTCTAAATATCTCATTCTCTGTCTCAATCTCTCTTATATTTTCTGTCTATCTCCCTCTTTCATTCTCTCTGTCTTTCTTTTTCTGTGTATTCCTCTGTTTCTTTTTCTCTATATCCCATTCTCTTACTACCTAACTGTCTCCGTCCCTTTTAGAGATAAGGTAGTTATTAGTTATAGAGTCAGAAAAGTTTATTGACAAATATGAAGTCGTTAATTCTTTCAATCACTAGACTTGAATTCAGTTTTTGTTATTTTTTGAATTTCTGCCAGAAGGTAATTATTATTTTTATTTTCACATCGAACACTGTTGCATTACAACTTTTTTCAATAAAAGTTAAAATATTTTTCGAAAGTAAAATTTTAAGAAATGCATTTGTTGAAAAGCTTTTTCACACGTTTTCTTCAGTAGTTTTTCGTGTTTATGAAAGAAATTTGTTGACGCAAATAAGTAATATTTTTTGTAATTAGTTAAAATAGCAAAAATTTGCAATGACAAAGCAAAGCTAAATTTATTTTATGTTTATTTATTTATTATTAAAAAACACGTTTAAAAATATTTATTTTGCTATGGAATTTAAAAAATAAAAGTTTTCTATTCCGAGTTGGGCCTATTTATATTTTTATATATATCTAATATATAAGTGATACAAAAAAGTTTAAGCAAAAAGCTTGAGAAGAATTGTATAATATTATATTTACCTTAATGAGTCAAAGTCTCAGCTGTGTAAGACGATTAGAGTGCCTCTTATCTACTATGTTTTTGCCCAGCTAATGCACGGCGGCTACTTAACACTTTGGGAGCCCCCTTTCTTTAGGATATTGATCAACTGCAAGCCTTGATACTAAATAGCATTTTAGGCTTTGCCAAAGGTTCTAAGTGATTTTAAACTTCGAATTTTTTCTACATATACGGCGACACAATGAGCCAAGTGGATCCACCAGAAAGCTAATTTTTTTTAATCTCTTAGTCCAATATCTAATTAAAAGTTTCACGTCCTATAACAAAAACTCATTTTTAAGTAGAAAAGGACGACATTTTAAGAAAATATTCATATCCAAAAATTTGATTATTATCCGTTGCTTCGGGTTCTTTAAAAATATCTATTATTTTAATAGTCCACTAAAAATTTTTTCAATTACATTTATCAGGAATTGAATTCTGTGTAATATGAGCAGTAGACTTGTGGTGTAAACTTAATTTGAATTATTTAAATTTCAAAGTTTTTTCAATTTTTATTGTATTGTTACATATAACAACGCATAAACCACAGTTATAAAAATTAACTTAACTATTTTAAATTTAAATTTAGACACTACTACTTATGCCAAACACTTCCAGAGTATTGACAGAAATTACAACATTATATGCTATAGTTTAAAGATTTGAGTTTATTTCTTTATATGATAATATGTTAACTCATCGTATCTCATAAATCTATAAAATCTATCCATCACAATACTGCAATACGATGTAAGCTATTATCGATTTAAAATTTTAAATACTCCGTTTTAATTGATTTATTTATGTTGAAACTAGTTGAGTTAGTACACTTAAGCATTTTTACTCTCTACTAACTGTGAGGTTTCTTCATAACCCCTCTCTACGCCTTGACTGGATTATTGTTTATCACTTCATCAGACTAAGCAATAACTGACCTCAGATCTGCATACCTCCCAGCGAAGCCTGTAACCATTCTGAGATTTGATACCGCGTCGTTGGTCGGTTTTAGTAAATAGTTTCAGAGCTCTTTCCTTTATGTATGTTATTTTGTGATCGGATTAATCTTGAGGTGCCTGAGGATGTCATTTGTCAAAATGTACCATGGCATCTTGAAAAGTCTTCTTAGAGCCTGGCTTTATGCAATTTCTAGCTGGCGAATAGTAGTATTAGAGGCCTTGCTGAACGCTACCCACTCATATAGAAGTGAATTATTTGGTTATATATCAGCTTCCTATTTTGAACTCTTTTTAAAGAACTTATACAATACGACTTATTAAGTTACTTACTTATTAAGTTAGTTCTTCAAAGTTACCTTTTTGTATCACATTTTGTATTTTTTAAAAAAATTCACGTTTTTGTTGTTGTTTTTTTTTGTCAAATTTTTATTTTTATCTAAAATAACAGAATTTAATTTCTTTTAATAACTCTCAACTATTTTGAAAACATTTCTCTATCTCTTTCCTAACTACATATATATATATATATTGTATACTTATATACAGTGAATTAAAATATATATTAAATAGGCTTATTTTAAAGTTGTTTTCTTCATTACTTTAACAACAAAACAAAAATAATAATTATAATAAAAATTAAAATAAAATTATATGCAAACAAAAATTAAACAAAACAAATTTTTATAAACTTTAAAGCCATCCTTGAGTGGTCGTCGTCCAAGCTGGATTGAACAGAGGGTCAAAATTCAGACGCGAAAATTTAGCATCAAAGTTAGTTTCATTTGTTTGATAACTTTTCTTAAACCATATTCAATAATTTTTTATTTTTCTTATTAAAATGTAATATTATTAAAATTAAGACCAAACTAAAGAACGTATACCTAAGTTTGTCTTCCAAATTTTTACTAAAATCAAATATATTGCTAAGAATTTATTTATTAACTAAAACAAAAAAAAAATTATAATAACGAACGAAACGTTGATTCTGTTAAATATTTCTTTATAATATAATTACCGCAAATTTTTTTTCAATTTTTTCTTTTATTTCATGTAATTTTAGTAAAAGAATCGTAATATTTATATAATAAATATGAATTTATGTACTAGTACTGCTTTGAGTAAATCAGCTAATTTTGTACACACTACCCCCAGAACACAGTACCCTGTACTTAACACCTGCAACTAACCTTGATTGCATATAAAAGACACATCAAAAAATAATTAATTGAAAAATTGATATAAAAATCAAAATTTATATAAAAATATTTTTAAAATATTAATACCAATGCATATGTATGAAATAAATTTTAATTACTTAAATAATTCACACAGTAGCACATGAACACTTAAAACTTTAAAAATTAAAAAATAATTTACTCTTTAATGTATGAAAATTTACCTGCAAGTAATAGTTATTTTTTTAATTTCTTAATTTATTTTAAAATAAATTAATTTTGCTGTAAATATTTGTAATTATAATAATCAAAAATTTAAGTAAATCGAGCATGCAAACATTTTATTACAAATAAATATATTATTAAGAAAGTTAAAATCTTATTAAACCAAATTTGTTAATACAAATATATATAAACATATTGTGGATATATTAATCGGATTTATTTTACATATATGTATGTATTAAAAAAAGCAGTTTTTCGAATACTAGTAAACTACAACAACAAAATTTCATTTTTATATTATATTTATTAATGCAATTTTTGGCTGATCATACAGCTGTTTCCAATATTACCAAACACTCATCATCAGCGGTAATTTTTTTTTTTTTTTTTTGCAGTAGGTGGAAAGCATCGAAAGCCACAGTGTGAGACTTGAACCCACTAAAACCACCTCTTAGGAATGAAAGGAGAAGATTTCCACAGCAGTGTGGAAACTTCATTCCAGTAATCATGGGAGAAAGGCATGAGAAAATAGACTCAATACCAAGTGAACTAGATTCATCAGTGGTCTTGGAAATAATTCTTATATTTAATTATTCGTAAATAATAATCAGAGTATACTTGTATTAAATGACACGCCCAGCACACGAAGTACTTGTTATTCGTAAATAACAAGTACCTCGTGCGCTGCCAAATTTGAAGCTCAGAGTCAGCACTCCTTAACCAACTGACCCAAAGCCATACTTGACTCGTATGTTCGCACATTTTTCTTGAGTTTTGTTAAATCCACCTACTGTGTTTATATTAGATCGAATTCGTGAACAAGTTGTAGAATAATTGAATTAAATAATTATATTTTTATTTGTAATTGTTAAATTTCAATAATATTCTGTTTGTAGAAGCATTATATTAGAGATATGTATTACAACGTTTGTAACATATTTGCATAGTGTGTTCTATACGAGTATTAAAAATTATATGTATATATATTAAATATGTGTATATACAGATAACTGTATAATATTTTTTGTTTTATATTATATATAGAGAAATCATATAATATATAATTATATGGAGTAAATATCATATAAATATAACAATCTTCATATTATTTATAATCTTATGTTGAGATTTATTCGACTTAGTACAACTGGGCACTTATACTCTTTCTTAACTGAGGGGTTTCTACAGGATCCTACCCTTCTCTTTAACTAATTTATGTATTCCTCATAAGCGTCACTGATTATTCGATGAGTGATCTAAGATCTGAATACCGTCCCGTACGGCTAGTAACTGCACTGAGATTAGATATTGCTATGTATGGCAACTTATCAGTTTTCGCACATTTTTCGCTTCAGGGTACTGTCCCTTATGTATTTTATTAACCGGGTCTATACTAGGGTCTTTTAGCATGTCACGAGATGTACCATAGCACTTTGAAGAGTCTTTGGAGACTCTTACTTTGAGCAACTTGTAGCTTCTGGATAGTAGAGTTGACATATGTTACATATTTCAAATCATATAATAACATATTTTAAATAATATCACGTCACATAGAAATCGATTTGTATTTTTTTGGGGTTTCTAAAATGTTCTAGTTAGAGCAATCTAAAATCAGTTTCTTGATTCAGAAGTAAGCTCTTGAACATTTCAGGTGTAATATTATTCCAAAATAAATATATTAATAAAAGTTCAAAGTCTTTCAAACTATAAAATATATTCCTTCTTAAGCTAAACCACTTTAAAAACCGAACTGTTTTATCTACACAAATTTATTTCAAAAATATATTTAAAGCAACGAATGAAAAGATCTAAACATATGTGACACAATCTGATTTATCGAATACAGAGTCTTGAAAGAAACCAATATTATACAATATTATATTTGACACTCAAACACATTGAAGTCAATTTTTCTTACTAGGGGAGGTGGGCGCCTTTGCATTTTCACAATAAAAAAAGACATAGCGAATACGAACCATATCCGGATGTTGTACGTGTATTTGGCAACAGTTGTGCTCATCATATCTGGCAAGATAATACTCGGGCTTTTCTATAAATTCACATAATGCGACTGCCTGGAAGGAGTCACCGAATGAACACTTTCCCCAACATGGTGTGCTGGGCGTGTCATTTAATACAAGTATACTCTGATTATTAAATGGTATGCCATAGTTGCTATTATTTTGGTGCTTATAAACTTTAAATCCTCTTGTTAGAATTTCAAATAAATTGCTAGCAGGACAACCGAAAAAACAAAACTTAGTTGGATATTGAGAGCTTCGGGTTATAAATAATTGTTCTTCTTCAGAATTTTCATTATAGTCTACGTTGAAGATGTACGTGGGCTTAATAACGGTGCGAGTTTCCTTTAAAGTAGCGACCAATTTATCAACCTCTTGGCGAGTTAGTGTTTCAAATGTTGGCATTTTTAATTCAAAGAGGACCCAATAAACTAACAGTATAGATAATTTGTCACTACATTCATCTGGTTCTATCCATTTGCGACGCATCTCACGCAAATGCGGAGTGTTCTGAATCAATACCAATAAATGTTCATGGTTTTTAACAAACTTGGGCAGATATGGTAACATAGGCTTAATATTATCATAGCTCTTAGTCGCACTTAGGAATAGCTCCCACAACGCCTCACATGAACTTAAATCTTTTGTTAGTTTTTGTGTTAGTTCGTTACATATTGTGGAAAATTCCTCTGCTGTTTTTACACCATCCTGTGGTTCACATGGTAATTCCTCATGATCTCCGCTCTCGACGACATTTTCTTCCAAATTTTGATTAGATGTATTTTTGTCAGTGTCAGACATTTTCGTAAAATAAATACCAAAAAATAAAACTGTTAACGAAACTGCCTCTACGTACTGAACACGTAGAGTATAATTTGTTGCTTTAAATTGTGAGACAAAATTTTTGAAATCAATTCTGTTAAAGAAATTTTTTTATAAAATCTAAAATAAAATCATTTTTCAAGTTATTTAACATTAGATAAATAAAATGACTACATACTTTGTTTTAAAATTTAATTAAAGTATGAAAATAATGAATTTTTGTATTAGATAAGTATCAAGCCCTTCAATAACAATTTTTCAGAAATAAATAGTTTTTTTTTAGCAAATTTTATTCAAAGTCTAATATCTCTAATAATATCTCATTATATATACATAATATTACGAATTCCTAATAAATTCCAAATACATCATTTATGTCGAAAAATGCTGACAAATTTTTTTCTCTAGTCTATATCTGGACTAATAATTGATTATTTTAATAGGACGTATCATCTTTAGATTGAAAAATAGTAATACCAACAGATTTTGTGATAACGAGTGTTAAAAACTCAGTTTATCTCTTTGTGTCGTGCGAACATCAGTAAAGGCTCAGTTAGTTGGTACATACCATAAGGACTTAAGCGAATTTAAGTTAAAGCGAAGTTCACAATCAATTTTTATTGTCAATTACATGCATTATATGTAATAGAAACCAACCGAAAAGTTAGAATTTACACTCAGATCGTTAAGCAGTTAGATTGTCTAATTTATTATACTAAGCCAGTAGAGAACAACACAAAAGAATATATATATTGTTAAATCTAAACAGCTGTTATTATTCTAGAATACACATTGTACAAAATAGTTAGTCGTAGCTTTAGAAGGCTTTATGAAAACACATGAATTCGAAAATATTGGAGGTCATATCAAACAACTATTGTATAAATCCAAATGTGTTAAAAACCATATAATCTCATCTCCATTAATCCAGTTCTTATTCCAAGTTATCTTTTCCTTCTGTGCTCATATTTGTTTCGGTAAAATTAAAAATGCGTAAAGTCAACTAGAATAAAACTAAATTCAAATAAATATACACTCACTTCAAATGAAATAAATTTATAGTGTGAACATTGTCCACCCTTAATGATATTAATGATAACATTATATCAGTAGAGAATGTATCTTAGTATGACATTTAATTGCCAATAGATGCATTTATTGCAATCACCTATTTTCAAAGCGTTCACCCCATGTATTAACTTATAAAAAAACTAAGTTGTTGGTCCAAGTTGTTAGTCTATTGGTGCTGTCAGTAATATTTCCTTTATTAATTAAATACTACATTCGCAAGCACATCAAGACACATACTTATTCTTAAAATATCTCTAGATACTAGAGCAAAACTCATGTGCTGGTGTACATTTATGCTATATGTCTATGTCAATCGTTTGTCTTACCATATAAATTGACAAGTTAAACGTTTAGCAGCTGCAAAAGATGTATTAAATAAATAGAAAAAAAGCAAAAAATAGTAATGAATGAAAGAAATTAACCCAACCAAGGACGTGAACGTATATTTGTGTAAAGG